GTTACTTGAGTGTTGGCCTAGAATTAAACATCCCATTGGTACTGTATTCACGGTGGAAGGCTCGTCAAGAATCCCTTTCACATCTTACTAAATTTTATCGCAAAGATATTTTCAAAGCCGATCTAAAGCAATACAAAACGGCAATTATATTTGGAACCGAAACTTTGGTAAGTTAGAATTTTACGACAAGTTTTAGTTCACATTCTAAATTTAGTGTTTTCAGTTGATTTAGAGACTTATCATGGGAATATTCTTGTCACTTATAGGCTCTTTTTTTTAATTCTTTAAGTTGGGAAGTGTTGTTTAATCAAAATTTTCTCATCAGATCTCGGACAGCTGTATCGTTATGAGTAACTTCACCGTTGCAATATAAATAAAATGAATTTTGTAGATGGGTGATTTGTCCATGAAAATTATGGAAATGAAGATTGGTTCCTTTCTGATAGCTTGTCGTTTTCCATTACCGCCACCAACATCCGAGGGAAACACTCAGTGGCTATTGCTTTGTACCATTGGAAATTGCTTTGATCGTGTTTGGTTGTATGAAAAAATTTTTTAGTAATTTTTGCAGTTCATATGTTTTCTCATTGCCTTAATATTTAGCAATAAATTTTTGTTTCTTGCTTTATTTCATTTCATAATATTTGTTGGAAGATAAGAAAATAAAAAGTCACCCGTTTGCTTCTTTTCGTAAAGTTGGTGAAGATTTTGCTAAGAATTGCAATCTAGCATTTCGAGAAATTGTCAAATATCAAGAACATGGCACTAGAAATGAGACTGGTGATAATGGTGCATCACTTTAGAGTTATTTATTTATTTATTTACTTTACATATTGGTTTCTGCTTCCACTTTACTCATGATAGAAGTAGTAGAGATGTTACATCGAAAATCGGCCAGAGGCTTTGTGATTCCTATCAGTTTTTATCATTTGATAATTGTAGTTACAGCATTGTAGAGATAATCTTAAACTGATTTAGTTAAAATTACTTTATATTAGTAAAGAAATTTAGCGGGCAATAATTTCTTTTTATAGTCAATATAAAATAACAAAAATAGGAGAAAATATTCGAAATGATAATACGATTATATTCCATAAGGAATTGTAGAAAAAGATTGGCAGAAAAAAAAAGGGGGTGGATAGTAGTGAGAATTTTAGTGGCATTTCAAATATTTCCATAAAAGCCTTCATATCTATCAGTGTCTTCTATTGCAAAGGATTCAAGCAAAACTAAATGATTTATACTGTCTGATCCTGCGCCATCTTCTGGCAATTTTATCTTAAATAAAATTTTCAAATGCTTTTTTGAATATAAAAGTTGATTGATTGTTCTAAATCTTCATTTTTTTTTTCATTGCAATTTTTTCCTCTTTTTTTTTGGAATAATGTTTCTATTGTTGAAATAAAAGTATTCGTTCCGTATTTTTGCTCTTTTTTTGAAGTAATTCCTATTTTGTGATTTATGATCAATCAATAACATTACTACATTTGATCTTGTGAAAATACTTTTTACCTTACAATTAGTTCCTGCACTACATTTTGTTATAAAATATTTCAAATCACTTCTCGAAAATTTGCGCCAAAAATATGAATAGCTTAGACAATATTTTGGGAGCATTTTTCTGCAAATTATAAAATTAAGATCTTTCTAGATAAACTTAAAACAATTCATTTGAAGTCGAAAAAATCAGTCAATATTTCATTAATTAACCTGCTTCAGGTAACAAAGATAGAAGTTGTAAATTTAATGATACATAGAGAAATCTTGCTGCAATTGCATGCATTTTAGATAATTCAGTTTATTCATCATAAGATGTTACTTTCATAAAACAATTTTAAATAAAATAATTCAATCTAATCATATCATGATGTGAATATAGAATTAAGCAGCATAGATAAAGAATTAGATAAGATAATATTAAAGTATAACTGATATTATCTCAAAAGTTTCAAACATGCTAAATTCTTGTCTTTGTTGTATAACAATTAGTTATCAAACAGATAAGCTGATTTTAAGAAGTTGATACAACAATAATCTATTCGGTATAATAGTTTCCTGATAATCTTTAATGATTATAAAAAGTATTTAGAGATTACTTGTTCACTAATCTAATCAATAAATTATATAACTGTTTCGATCACTTCCGATCAATCAATAAATTATACTATTAGTTCGGTTACCCTATCAATTCTTATTGCATAATTTAGATGCATAAATTATTTTTACCTTGCAAATGAATACTTATTCAATAAACTTCATGAATTTAATACATTTGCTAATAATAAATATTATTTCAATGAAATATTAGAGTACTACTACAATGGTCGTGAAATTTGTCAAATACTTCGGATTCATTTTGTTTAAAATTAAGAATTCATTTAAAGACAATTATATTTCTGTTCCTCCTATTCTTATACTGTACTATTTAATTACTTATAACTGTACCATATCTTGTTCTATATTATCCCTATTATATATTATGGACTATATTATTATATCATATCATCTTTATTATTTTACATATTATATTATATTATATTATATTATATTATATTATATTATATTATATTATATTATATTATATTATATTATATTATATTATATTATATTATACTATTGTATTATATTGCACTAATTGTTTTATTATATATTATATTCATTATGAGCATTTTATAGTTTATAATTTACAGCTTTATTTATGGTTATGAAACATAAACAGGTAAACAGGTAATTTAAACTATAGAGCAACAAATTTAACTTTCAAATAAACTACTTTTCCTATCTTAATTTGATTCATTCATACTTACTGTTATCTGTTATCAGCTGCACTCACTTATTATCACTTGTAATGTAAAACAAGCAGAAAGCAAAATTTATCACATCGATGCGTAATGTGTAATAATGAAATATCCAACAAATCCACATCATTTCAATATTTTCTCCTAATCTATTATCTTTCTCTCTCTCTCTCTCTTTCTCCTCTTTCTTCTTTCTATTTTCATTTTCACCCAGGAAATTCGTCAAATGTTATCAGAATTTTATCTCAAGCGCTGATAGCGCTTTCGTAAAGCTTTTCTGTCTTTTACATGTTAATAAATAATTATCCACCAATTTACAGCAATGTTTCTTATCAATCCTTATCACCTTATCGTTATTGGCATCGCTTTTGTTAACAATTTTCCTTTTTACTCATAAAATGAGAAAAGATAAGCAATTGATTTCAAAAACTTTTTCTGTACTTTTTGCATTTTTTAGCCTGTGTGATATGATAAAGGCAGTGATTAAGTAATAATTGTAGATATTTTTATTTAACTAACAATCAGAGTTGAATTAATTATAATTAATTGAGATTATTAATAAAATCATAACTTATTTAAGTATTTCTCAATATCACTTCACTAATTGATATAATATTTTGTAATGCGAAATAATATAAAAGGCAGAGAAAAAGTATTATTAAACATAGTAATTGTTATATTAGTAAATTTTTATATAAGTAAAAATTACATTTAATTCTTTTCTGAACAAAATTGTTTAATTAAATTAACAATTGATGGTAATTTGAATAATTTACAATAAAAGTAAGCAAAGATTAGTAAGGAAAAGTAATATTATTATTACGATTGTAAAGTTTTTCGCCTACTAATGGTTTAATCCATGAAGTATGCTGTTGTTTCATCAATTCCATATAGTAACGGACGGAATAGTTTCCGTTGCAGAAGTCTTCGGTGCAGCAGTGATCACATCGTACCATATCTGTCCCATACCCATCTGATTCACAAGGTTCACGACAGATGTCACCACAAGCTCGAATCACAGCACTGAATGCCTTCAATGATGTCTCCACAGTTGTCTAAATCATCAAAAATTTTTGCTAATAATTCTCGTGTAATATATTTCACTTGTTTCATCTTATTAACTTTTTTCAAAATATAAATTTACTTTTACCATACGTGTAAGTATCATTCAATATAAATTTACTTTTATCATACTTGTAAGTATCATTTGATACTTTACCTGGCGAATAAATAGTCTATGAATTTTATTTTATTTATGAATTTATCATCATTATGATTGCTAATTAATATTACTGATTAATTTAAACCTGAAATTATAATAAGATAATTTATAAAAATACTCCTTTTGTTTCTCTCTAAAAAATTTCTGAAGAAAAATTTTATCTCTGAATAATATAAATAAAAGTAGTTTTTCTCAACTAAATTGTTAGTGTGAAAAAAAAAGGAATTAAAAAGAAATTAACTATATAATATATGTATATATTAAAGAGAAAAAATAAATCTAAACAAAAAAACAAATCATTTACCATGCAAAATTTTTCCCATGGTGCACAAATTCGTGTCGTTAAATCGCGATCAATTTTAATTAATGATTCATTAGCGCAAAAAAAATCATCATTTTCAGGTGTTAATTCAAGCATTGAATAGGAGCATGAATAACACTTTAAAGCATTTATAATGCTTGGAAAAAAAATTACTAATACAAGAAAGAGCAATGAAAATAATAGCAGTAAATGATGATAAGTTATCATTGAAAAATGTGTAAATTAAATGATAATAGAATTAAAAAAAAAATTGATTATCATTTAACAATTATCTTTTGCTTATCAAATTTAATTGCAATAAATATTTGATAAGGTTTTTGGATTGGATTAGATTAGACGAATGAAAAGGCCTAGTTTTCATTGCAGGCAAAAATTAGAAAAGCAAAAGCAAAAAGGGAAAAAAAGAATCCATTAAATGAAATTGCTTGCTTTAAGTATTTTCTCTACATCACCAATTTTAGTCCAATTTTCTTATTGTTCAATTTCATCTTTTCCAATATTTTTTTTTCTTTCATCGTTTCATCTGAATACATCAATCGTTGGGTTATTAGCATCATAGCAACCACAATAGCATTTCATTCTAGCTCATACCTTAGCTATTATTTTGTTTTGGTATTACCTAGCTAAAAATTTTTGCTATCACTATCATCTTACAACGATGACAACTTCTAAAGTGATTTCTCAGGATTCATCAATGATATCAAAGATTCGACCATTTCTCTATCTAAGTGGATTAGCACCACTTACGCCAACATCACTTAGACCGTAAGCGTATTTTTTAATTTCTTCTTTGTACAACTTATAATAATACAATAAATTATAAATTAATAATACTACGATAATATTAAAGTAAGAAAAAAAATTCATTACAATTATGCATAATTAATGCATGGAATTTCACTCAAATTAAATATATAATTAATATTTATATTATTGAAAATTGGCAATGATTTAAATTTAGATTTACCTGTGTGATCAATTGTGTCGCAGGTTTACGACAAATTCTACCATCGCACCTTTCTGTGCTTCATATACCAATTGAAGATGATGAAGGAACAGATTTAAGTCCATATTGGCATATTGTATTTCGTAAAATTGATGATCAAAAAAGAAATGGTGGCAAAGTGCTCATCTTTTGTGGTATGGGCATATCCAGGTACATAATTTTTTATTAAATAAATTTTCGAGAATTTATAAAAACAAAATCGAAATAAAAAAATAGAATTTGTTTTCTTGTTTTTTTTTTTTTTTTTGGATTTTGTAAATTAAAAAATTTTTTGTAGTTTTTCTAATTTCTTTCATTTCTATTTGAACAATAATTATTATAACAATAATTAATTTGCATAGGTCAGCAACTTTTGTTGTTGCATATTTGATGTGTGTGGAAAAGATGACATTACGAGATGCTTATAAAGAAGTGCAAAATATACGAAATATTATTTGTCCTAATGTTGGATTCTTTAAACAAATGATCGAATTAGAGGAAAAGGTGATTTCTTGTTTTTTTGAAACTACAAAAATTGAAATTTTATAAACAAAGCAGAGAATAATGATTTTTAAATTATTAGTAACAATACTGATCATTGTTGAGGAATGATAAAAGTTTACCTACTTTAGTATGTTTCTACAAAATACTTAAAATAACTGAATAATGAATTTAGTGCAAAAGTCGCATTATTCTACTATTATCATAATCTACAATGAATTAGCATTTTTTTTTTTTTTTGTGATATTTCAAATAATTATCAATAACAAATAGCGCTATTCCCACTGTTAACGGAAGATACTTATACAGTATTAAATAATATAATTCAAAAATATCGTTTAGAAATATTCGTCATTCTTAATAAATAATTTAATATTTATAATTATAAAAAATGATCATTGTTATTTTATATTAAAAAATCAAATTTTATTTTAAAAATTTAAATTTTCATTTATCATTTTTAGCTCTACAATCAAACTACGGTAAAAATTATCACACCGGTAAATGGTGTTGAAGTACCGGATGTTGTATGGAATGAATTGTATGATGAGATGATGGATGACATTAACAAGAATGGTTCCTGATAAGCTATTAATTTTATTGCATTAATTATTTATTAATTATTCATTATTTATTTCTAAATATATTTAATTATTACATTTTACTAATTATTACTATGTACAGATATATTGCTATAAATTTTGCATCTCATACTTTAATGCTTCTATGATTTTTTTTTCACTTTTTTTTTCTAATTTCAAAGGCCGCCGTTTCATTATCAATAATACTTCGAAAGAAATTCTAATCAAAAATGGATTAAATTCATCAAAATGGAATAAATTGTTAACTAAAATGTGAGTTTTCCTCTTTGTTTTCTTCGAAAGAAAAAAAAATTTATACTATAAATGATAAATTAAAATAGCGAATGCGCTTTTAGTGTTTTATTAATTTCATGCAAAAACAAAGATACAGGAAAAGTTTAAATTAATCATTATTAGATCATATTTATAACTGATTAAAAATTTGTTGCAAATTGCATAATAAATTTGTGGTTTGTTTATTTATTTGTTTGTTCATTTATTTGGCTTGTTTGTTTGTTTTTTAGTGAATGTAACTGAAAGATTATTATTATATAAAACATATGTATATATATAATATTTTTAAAGATTATTACTTTTTTATTTTTAAAATTGTAGAAAATGGATATCTTTAATGGATGTTTGGAAGAAAAAATTTTTCCGGCAATTGATTCTCTCGGGTATTCTTGTTTCCGGTATTGAACATCGAACCAAAAATGCATAATAAATGTGTTTATATGAACTGAATTATTCTGAAATAATACTTTTCATCTGGGAGCTGTCATTCGTCAATTTTTTTTTTAGTCTAACAAAAATTTTCTTCCACTTATTTTTTGCTTTCTTTTGAACAAATTGCCTAAAATACTTTAATTCCTGTCTTTCCTATTTCGTTTACTTGAAAAAATTTATCAAAATTTCATTTTTTTTTAAATTCAGAATTGAATATTTTCACTATTTTACTTTATATATATATGCACTTTTTTTCGAAGTAAATAAAGAAATAATAAAGGAAATTCATTTTTTTTTAAATATTTATAATCATTTTTTTCTTTTTTTATTTTATTTAATATTTTTCATAATCATAACGAATTTTCTAATTTCATCAATGAATGAATGAAAATCGAATAATATGAATTGAAATCAATGTAAAAGACCTGAATGTGTTGACACGAAATTGAAATTAATTGTCCCATTAAATGGACATTTGCGCTGCTTCTCATGACCACTACAACATCGTTGTCTGTTTCAGGAAAAGAAAAAAATTAAAATAAAGTAAGACAACAAATATTATGGATAATGAAATTATTTTTTTTCAAAAAAAATATGTGTTATATACAAAAAGAAGAAAATTATTAGTGAAAGATATATAATATAAAGTGTAAAAATTAAAGTAAAATGTTCTAATTTGTATTAAGTAATGGAGAATTATATATTATAATTATAAATTGAAATTAAATTCAAATACTTAAGCATTTAACACTACATAATAAATTAAAATTAAGATTTATTGATTGAAATGATTAAATTTATCAACCGATAATAGAAGAAAGCGTTAAATTCATCCATCTTTACTGAATGAATGACAATGATATGCGATTGACAAATATCAATTACAGGTAACCAAGGTTGTATGCCAGGAATATTTCGAAGTTGTAATCCAGCTGCCTAAAGATTTTCATAGTTTATAGAAAAAAGAAAAAGGAAAAAAAATAATCTAACAACAAAAATTCGAAATGATAATAACACACCTGAGCAATTGGTCCGGTAAGAACATCGAAAATTCGAAATCCGGTAATATAATGAATACCAAGTTCTGGTATAACATTTGAAATTTTTTTGCATGCCTATCAAATTTCTCCCATTAATTTCATTATATTGATAAATTTCTTATCAAATGGCAAATTAATATATATATATATATATAGCTGTTTTGAAGGTATCTTTAAATTAATATCATATTAATCAAAAAATAAATAAATAAACAAATAAACAAACAAATAGATCAAAAAAAAGCAATAAATAATATTAATATATTATTAATTTCCTTTACCTGAACATTTCCAATAATCATTGTTCCACTACAATAAACTGGAAGTATATCACCAGGCCATTGCCATTTATTCACGTAATAACGATTAAAATTATCACGTATAATTGGTTGTTTTGAAAGTATCTTTTAAAAAATATTACATTAATTAAAATAATTTAAAAAAAAAGAATAAAATTATTTCTTTTAAAATATTTTATAAAAATATAATTAATAAAAAGGAAATTTACCGTGCATCCTAAATATCCATCAAATGTGTTACTCTTAGTATCGAGTAATTTTTTGAAATTTTTACCAAATAAAATAGCATCTGAATCTATGCTAGCCATTAATGAAATATGTGAACATTGTGAACTGTGATAGTAATTATTGCTCCACCATTTTAACAATAAATTTTCCCATCTAAAATTTTTTTCTTTTTCTAAATAAATGTGTAAGAATAATATTTGTGAATAATTTAAAAAATTAAATATTATTGTTTTTTTTTTTTAAAGTTTATAAATTAAATATCATTGTTGCATATATTATTATATTTTTTTAATGGTTAAACAATAATCACAAATAAAATACATTGAATTTGAATCGGATGAAAGAAAATAAATGAAATGATAAAATTATTGCCCAATTAATTATTAATACTTAATAGTTGGAAAATTTTTTGATAATAATAATAAAATATATAATTGCATTATTTCTCTTAATTGCTTATTTAACTCATTATTTATCAATTTAACTGATTAATTAAGCTATTTTTTCAAAAAATTCACTTAAATCATTCAAAAAAAATATAATATTTTTGAAATTTATGCAAGCATAGCAACAATAATACCTATCAACAAAATTTGCGAGTAAAATATCATGAAATTGCATGTTTTCCTCAAAAATTGCATCGGTATTATTCATTTGATTTAATTCTCCACCATTTCCAGTTCCAATTGAGAAGACTATCTGAAATAGTTTTAAAATTCTTCAAAATTAATTTAAATTTAAGCGAAAAAAAATGTCAAAATATTATTATCACATTAATCATTTAATTTTAAAGAAAATTTTCCTTTCATATTAATGATTTAATTAAAAAACAAAGTTAAAATATATTTTTTACATTTAACTTCTATTTTCGAATTTTCCTCTTAATTTTTGCTCATTACATGTAATCATTTATCATTAAAATACAATACTCATATATGATCATTGCTATTCAAAAGTAATTTATTCATTTGACAAATTTCAAACTGTAATGTTAACAGAAAAGAAAAATGCAATTGCATACCTCAATTTCATTATTTTTAGCTTCAATTGCCCAGGTATTTCTAATTAAATTTCTAATTAATAAACCATTCTCGTCCGGTGTTATTGCAATGTAAACAAGTATTTTTGCATATTTTTTTTCTGAAATTAAATTTTTTTTTCCTATTTCTATTATTCTTCTCCATAAACAATCAAATTTAATAGAAATTTTTTTTTTAATTCTTTGCTAATATATTTAACCACTTTGATAAATTACAGTAATCAAAAATAGTATTCTTAAATTCCACAAATTTAATCATCCTATTGGAAAAAAAAATGAAACTGACAAAAAATATTGGAAATGAATTTAGAAAGATTTTCAATTGAATAAATGATTCATCTCATTAATATTTTATCAGAGAGAAAAATTTAGCATATATCAAAGTATTTCAAAATTTTTTAAAAAAGAAAAGAAAAATTATTTTATAAAATAATTTACTTTAATATATGTTTATAAAAAAAATATATATATAATAGTGTAAAAATTAAATTCACTTATTATTGGTTTTTAGATAATTCATTTAAAAATACTTCAATTTGATTAAAAAAACAAATTATGATTTTGCTTTGCTTTTTTTTTTGTTGTTTGTTTGTTTGTTTGTAGCACATACTTGTACATACCGATGGTTCGATCAAATACCAAAATGGTTGAAAAATCATTTCGTATTGATTAATTTTATGCCATACATAACGAAATTCTAATCCTTTCACAAATTCTGATTGTGATGATTGTTGGAAAGTTGAATTTAACATTGAAATTTCTTGTTTTATGGAAAAATTGCATAATTTTTGATGATGATAAATCCAGAAAAGAGAAATGATAATGATTATCACTACAGTCCAGATTCCAATTAATTTTCCTCTTATCAATTTTGTGTAAGAGAATCTTCTCATAATCTAAAGCATTTTTAAATGAATTTCTATTTGAAATAATAATTTTTGCAATCATTACTGTTAACAGTTATCACTGTTCTAATTTTTGTTCACTTTTACAAAATTATTATCAATAATTTTATTAACAAATGAGAAAAACATCTGATATTGGCAAATTAATCAAATGAAACATACAATCAAAATTTATCAAAAAAGAAAACTAATTTTTCAAAGTAATTCAAATTTCAATCTAATATTTAATATATGTAAATAATGATTAATAAAAATTGCGTATTGTTTATCTATTATTATTGAATATTCAATTAATAATTAAGAAATTCTTAATTCCTTTTTTATTCTTCATTATTTTTTTCTGTAATTGTAATTGATGTAATTTTTTTCTGTAATTCATTATTAATAATTGTTACTTTAAATTTCTACTACTAATTTCTATTAGTTTATAGTTTGCACTTATTCTATTAAATAATATCTAATGCCTAAATAATAATGAAAATAATACCTAATAATATTTATGATTAATTAGTAATTAGTAATAAAATGATTTCGCGAATTGCAATACTATCTGATTGAACAATTTCTTGCACAAGTAGCACTTATGCAAAATATTTCATTTAAAAAAAATAAAAAATAAAAATAAATTAGCTTGAAATGCAAGAAGTATTGACATAGTTTTATGTCATTGACTTTTGAACGAAACGATTAATGAACTGATATGTATGAAATGAGGACAATTTTAAGCAGTTCTAAAAATTTTTGACATTTTTTTTTTTGGATGATATTAAATTCAATTATTAAAACATTGCTAGCATTTTAGAATAGTTATAATTAAATGGTAGCAAATTAAGTGATTAATAGTAATTAAGTAAATAAATTGATAGTAGTAAATTAACATAAGGTCTTTAATAATTCATCTGTTTACATCCATGACTGGGTCAAAGGTGAATAAGAAATTGATATTCAATTATCACAGAGAAAAAAAAATAGTTTTTAGTGAAATATTTTAATGACAGATTTTTTGAATAAAAAAAAAAGGAGAGAAAACCGTAATCAATGATATTTGAGTGAAAAGTTAAAATTCGTTTTTTTTTTTCTTTTCATTTTAAAAAGATAAAAGATTATAGGAAAATAAATGAAGAATGTGAACAAAAGTATTTTATTTCTATTATTGAATAATTAATACATTTTAATTAGCACTCAATTATGCATATGAAAATAATAAGCGATCGATTAACTGATTTATAGGAAAATAACTGATCAGCTAAATGATCAATGAAGAGTATTTTAAATCAGTTCTACTTATCCATTTCTATTAAAGATAAAATTATACTTAAAAGTATTTGTAAAATGAATAAAGGTCAAATCAAAATATAAGTACTTGATCGCTCATTTTTTTTTTTTTTTTAATTAAACACTTATTTTTATTTGTATTTGAAATTTTATTATTTTGAAATGCTATATTGTAGGATTTGAGAAAAATGTAAACAAACGTATTTTATTACAAAGCTTATAAAGAAAAAATCAAAAAACAAAATATGAGTTAAAAATAATTCCAACCGGATTAAATTACTTATCCGGTTGGAATTATTTGCATAGCTATTTGTCGCTCAGTGAATAATCTCTTCTCGGTGATATAAATGGTTAATACAAAGGTGACAATTATTGTTAATATTGTTGTGACACTCATTGCTATTAACACTTTTCCCACTATAAATTTTCATATTATTTCAATAAAAAAAAAAAAAAAAAAACAATAAATTTATTTAATTGTAAATTAATTGAAACTTTGCTTCAAATTTTTGAAATTACAATTAAATTAAAAAAATTTTATATTATATAAACTATACTGTGTATTGTTCAATGTTAAGATTCAATAAAACATCGAACAATAATTTAATTTTTTTATTACTTTTGATTTTGTTAATTTCAAATTAATCAAACTCATACAATCATAAATTATTCAATTAAATGATATTAGATGTCATTTAATTTTCAATATTTAAAGTATTATTAAAACTTGCAAAATTGCAATTAAAATTTTGATGTGAAAAATAAATTTTCATTAATAAACAATTTGGTAAATTTAAAATTTTAACCTACTTGGAGTAATTGAGGAATTTTTTGTGTCTGATATCATCTAAAATATTCTTCTTTTCTTTCGAAAAAAAAATTATAAATGAGAAATTAATTATTGGATTTATAATTAATGAATTTTAAATTGAATTTATTTTAAAGAGGCATTCAAGTAAATATTAAATCCAATTTTATCAAACATTTAGAATAGCACCATTTCATTATAATCCTACTCACTAGACAATCCAATTCTATTGCTTTTTTTTTTTTTTGTTATTTGAAGCGCAATTGACTCTCCTTAATTCAATCTTTTTCCCTCTTCTTTTTTTTAAAAAAAAATTTTAAAAAAATTGATGACAAATTTAAAAATTGCATGCCATCATTGTCGTATTCATACTGTCTGTGACATTGCTATAAAATTCACCATTTGCGCCATTTGTCTGATTGGATAATGTTTCTTTATTTTCTGAATGCATTTTGCATTAATTATACTAATTCGATTTATTTCAAAAAGTTAAAAAAAAAGAAAAAACTAAAATCAAATCATGAAATAATGTATTTTTAAAAAGCAAATTTGATTTATTTCGAACTGAAAAATTAAAATCAATTCATGAAATGATGTTATCAAGAAAATAGTTCACATTACAATAAATTAATTTTATTATAAAATTAAAAAATAAAATTACAATAATAGCAATTTAAACTTAAGAAATCAATTATCCTTTTATTAAACTATTAAATTTGATCCTACTATATTTGCTTGCTATATTAATTTAAACTACACTTCTAAATTGGAATAATTTCATTTCATTTAATAATGCACAATTTGAGTAATATAAAATTTGTTAAAATTTCAATTGATTGCACTTTTTAAAATGATACGATAAGATATTTTAACACCAAGACTTAAAAAAAAAGAAAAACAAAAAACAAAATTTAAATAAAAAATAACATATTAAGCATATGTGAAAATTATGATAGCAATCAAATAATTCAATTTTTTTTTCTACAAATATCGCAAATGGCTTGCATAATTGTTCACTTTTTTTAATCTTTTTTTTTTAAAACAAAATTTAAATAAATAAGTTGAAATATTGGATGATTGGAACTTAGAATTTGCAGCAATAATGCAATTACACTGTAAACTTTCTAATATTTCAATTTTTAATTAAATCGCATTTTCTTAGTTTCATTTCATCGTTATATTTTGTATTAGTTTATTGATAAAGTGAAGTAATTAAAAGATTAATGTGTCTCTCTGATAAATAAGTTAAATTATCATCAAGAAAAAAATAAAAATACTAACTAATTTTATATAAGAAGAATGGAAACTAAGTACTAATATTTGAAATCAAATAAATAATTGTCTTTAAATCAGTGAGTATTAATCATTTAATAATAATTAATAATTAAAAAAAAATCATACAATAGCAATGAATTAAAGATAGATGCTTACTTGAGATTATTCTCTTATTTCGTTTTCTTTTATCATTTAGTTTCTGCCATACAATCGAAGAAATATTATCACTTCTAGGTGTATCACAAATTTATGTAGTCGTTATCAACTGTTAGCAATTTGATTCATCTCATTTTACTCTACCATTTTCCTGATTCATCTCATTTTACTCTACCATTTTCCTGATTCATCTCATTTTACTCTACCATTTTCCTGATTCATCTCATTCTCTTTGCATTTTCCTAATCCATTTTGATTTTACTTTTACTTTCACGATTCATTTAACTTTAATCTTACTTTTCCGATTCATTTGATTTTAGTTTTACTCTCTCCACGGTATCATTGCTGGTTGCTTCCAAAATCATAGGAAAAGTACCTGAAAATTGATTCTAATATGCAATAAGAGAATTAATATTTATTCATTCATAAATTCCTGATATTACTCATCGATAAGGCAAAAATAATAAATGTTTTGCAAAATAAAAATTATATTATTAAAATTTGCTTTTCAAAAATTTTCCTAAAACTAAAACTGTTAGATGATAAGTTTAAACTTTTCCAATCAATCAATCAATCAATCAATCAATCAATCAATCAATCGATCAGCTAGCCGTGTTCATATCAGTTAAGGATTGATCAATCGACCGTTATAACTGTGATCGGCCAATTGTATTGCATGAAATTTTGCTTTGAATAGAAGAAATGCGCAAGTCACAACCACTTGCTGCCACATTTAATAACCAAATTGATTATATGCAATGATTGAAATTGAAGATAATTTGCATAGAGAAATGTGTGCAACGAGAAATTGCAACTGTCATTTATTGAGCGGTAATGTCGCAATGATATCATCTCGAATGACATTGTAAGAAAAGAAAAAGGTCAATGTTACTAGGATAATTTGTTCCATTAATGCAACCTTAACTTTTTCGAATGACAATAAATTTAAACTATGACTTTTCTTTTTTGAAAATATCCAAAAAATTTTTGAGATTTCTTCGAGTATCATTAATAATCTGCAGTGATAAGTTATCATTTTGAAATGATAAAAACCAGTGAGAATAAAATGTGAAAAATACCATTACTATAAGTAAATAGTCTTTTAATTAATGATATATTATCAAAAAATTGTCAAATTATATTTCAAAATTGAATTAATGGATTGTAAAAGTATTAGCTAATTGTGCAGTAATGAATGCTTGGCATGTTTTTTAATTTTAATTTTAATTTTAAAAAGAGCCAAGATGCACAAAAGTAAATGTTTTGGTAAAATTTTTTGAATACAACAAAAGAAAAAGCAATAAAAAGTTATCAATGATAACAATGACAATTTTTTTTAAGAAAAGAGAAATTAACTGAAATTTAATTTAATTTACATCATTGATTTTGTTTGCTCTACAGTAAAAGATAAGAGGTGAAAGGTGAAGGTTGAAGGTTGAAGGTTGAAAGTGTATAGATGACACTTTCGATTGACTTTAAATAATTGTAATTGAACACTACAATAAGCGCAAATAGACATCATTTTCAGCGTCTTTTTTTCGAAATACATTTTTTTTTTTTTTTTTCATAGAAAATTTGTCAACGAGTCGCATCATTTCTTCTCTCTTTCATTTCTTTTTTATTTTATAAAATTCTTTTTCTTCCTTTTTTTTTCAAGAAAAAAGGAAAAGTTTAAAATGACTTAATTAGTGATAGTGATAATCGAAACTTGTGATAATAATAATAATAATAATAATAATAATAATAGTAATAATAACAATGAAATTATGCATTCCTTCATGCTTCATTTCTTTTTCATTAATTAATTATAATTTAAAAAAATGCTAAAGAGTGATAATTTATTGAGATTTATTCATTCATTCATTTTGTAAAAATTGGTTGCATTATTTAAAAACCAATTTTGAAAATTTAATACTTAAATAAAGTCTTTTTTTTTAAAAAAATTATTTTTTAGTTGTAATAATACTTCTTGTTTTTTTTTTTTTTTTAATATACAATTTTTTCCATTACGAAAGTAATATAATAAATACGATGAAATTACCAAATGACACTTCCGTCAATTGCTATTATTATATTAAAGTAAGTTTAAAACTTTTTCACATCAGTTGATAATAAGTAATTTTCTTTTCAGTTGATTTAAATTACATTTTATGTTTTATCCCATATTTATCATTATCAGTTGACCTTTATCACTTCACTATATGTATGCTAAAATTTTCAATTTCCATTTTATATAATTTAAATTAGGCAAAAAAAAAATGAAATGAAACATTTTTCTTTTTATCTCTTTTTTCATTTATCGCTCATTTTTAATAATTTGAATTAATGTAGATTTCTTTCATTTCTATTTTAATGTTAGATTTATATTAAATTTAATTATTACTCCTTCATTTCATTCTGCATTTTAAATTAATTCGTTGCTTCGCAACCATTCATTCCTTACATTTCATCGACCACAAATTATTTTCCATCAATGATATTTGTGAAATTTTATGCAAAAAAAAGAAAAAAGAAAAATTCAGTTTTAATTTTGAAAAAAAAAAAAAAAAGAAAAACTAATCACATAAAGTGCATAACATTTTCCATTATAGATAATACAATATTTAAAAAATTTTAAATGCACAAATTGATTATCGTATAATCAATTATTATTAGTCATTTTCTTTTCAATTCGAAATTTTCACAGATAACAATTTGCGCTTCATTTACTGATTTCTCATTTACTCTAATTAATGCAATAGCTAATTAAGAAAAATATTCAACTGAAAATAACTTTAGAGAAAGAAAAAAAAACATATTCAAGTCTTTATGAAAAGTAAAAACAATCAGTCACTTAGATAAATTGAAATTGTATGTTTTGTTCAATTTTTTTTTGAACAATTTTTTTTTACATTTTGATCGAACTTTGTAATATAATTTCATATACATATAATTATTAAATATTTAAATTGCAATTATTAAAATCATCCATACAATATCTTTCATTTTAATTTCACCTCCTATTTTTTTTTTTGATTTCTAAACTTGACCATTATAATTTGATATTATCTTTTCGCTTTTATATTATTAAATTTCCAATTAGAAAAATATTAATTAAAAAAAAAAATTGAGTAAAGCATAAAAGAAATTCTTAAGTAATAGTTCAATGAGATAACGAACATCAACATACTTTTGCGATAAATTTGATAAATTGATTGACAGTTTAAACAACTGTCAAATGCTGTTTTCAATGAAAAGTAAGTAATGAAAAATATAAATCGCATTGTGATATTTACTTTGGACCAAATCATTTTTCATATTTCTATGATATAATATAATTCTTCAAAACATTTTACAATTTTTTAATCGTTTTTTATCGTAATTAATGAAAAAAAAAGGGCTTATTATTTTGTTTTTTAAAGTTTAAAATCATTTGTGCATCCCAAATTTGAAGAAATAAATAATAAATAATGAATTATTATTCTATCAGAAGAGTAAGAAATAAAATTTTAAAAATTTATTCAATTTATATTCATCTATTAATTATGGAAATAAATTTAACTTATAAAAAGGTAAATTTTTCAACGGTATGAAAAATAAAAATTATTATAGAAATCCCTTAAGTTAATGTGCACTTAATTTTCTTATTATAATCATTTTCTGTTCATTTTCAAATTTATTTTTTATCCTTTCCTTTGGATTAAATTATTATATAATCCATTTTTATTAATTTTACCTGTTTATTATTATTATTATTATTATTATTATTATTATTATTATTATTATTATTATTATTATTATTATTCCCAATTATATGAAATTCGATTGCAATATATCAAAACAAAGAATTTTTTTCGCAAAAATTTTTTCATCAAAATAAATATTTACAAAATATATCACAACTTTTATGTTTTATTCAATTCAGTAAATTTTTTCTACCCAACTTGTTACTCTTACTTTAATCGATAATCTATAAATTGTAATTCAAAGATTGCTTTAGTTTCACATCAGGAATTCACCTTAGTAATAATCAAATATTTCAGCTATTCGGCATTTATTTGAAAGATTATTCAAACATTCAAGTATATTATACCAAATGAAAATTTTATTAATAATTATAAATTTAGCATTAATTTTACCAACAAAAAATCTTTGGCAACATTTGCGCATTAACTTTAATCTACAAACTATTATTGCTATTATTTCTAATACTAATTAGTTTATTTTGAACTAAAAATATATTTACGCTTTAGCACTATTTAATTGTTTACATCACAAGGAAATAAACAAATTAAGTTCTGCTCTTTGTATAAAATACTTTTTAATTAATTCTGTTCTTTGTATAAAATATTTTCAATGATGTTTGTTAGTAGTTTAATTGCGCTTGTTTTCAAAAATCCTTCTCCTTCAAAGTTTCTGTATTTATAGGTTAATTTGGTGAATTTATTTGCTCAAAATTATGATCAATTTTTAAAGTCATAATAAAATACTTAAGTATATAAATACGATGACAAACCGGTCAGTAGCGCCAGCAATGACAAATCAACATGATGTTATTTATGATTAAATTTATGATTTTTGTTTCGACTTTCATAACTTGTTTGCATCGATTATTTTGCGAATATGAAAATGTATGAAATATTTTCTCAAAAATATATTTGAGATTTCACTCAGAGTTTTTTGAATGATTTGATAAACATTGATTGCTTAATATTTTGAGCGAAAAGAAAAAAGAAAACTATTGACTAAAAGATCTATTTTAATTTTAAGAATGAAGTTTAATTAATTTATTTTTTTAGTGGGTGGAAGAAAAATTTTAATGAGCCATTTTGTGAAATGATTTGAACAGTTCTTCTTTCAATAATGTTTTATTCATTCAAATGCCTGAAATAATTTTTGAAATGCTTTGTATTTATATCATTTATTCTGATAATTTTAATAATGCATTTAAAAAGCTTTTTGTATTAATTATGCATTTAACGTATATATACTTAGTTTATGAATTTGTATTTAATATAAATTATTAATTAGAGCTAATTACAGGTATACAATAGATACATATAGAATGACTTAGCATGGAGTTAGCAAGCATAAATGTTTCTTCATTTCAACACAATCAACAACAACAACAACAACAACAACAACAACAAACTTCCTTAGCTCGATGGGAAAGCATAGATGTTGGTTGCATCAGAAATCAGTAAATTATTACTTTATTTTTTATTTTCTAATTTATTTGTGCTTGCATTGCTTTCCATTACATTATATTTTGAGCATTTATTTCTCTTTTTAATTTCAAATATAATAATATAATAAAGTAATAATTTTAGTTTTATTTCTAGACAACAACGAATAACTGAACAACCTACCACATCATTATCAATCACATCATTATCATCATCAATGGCAATATCTAGTAGTACAATTGATAATAACAATTGTGAACATTTTGCAAATAATTACTGTGATCGATCGAAGAATATTAGACAAATTCATGAACAAGATCGAGAAAAATTAGTTCGATTTGTGTATTTTGGACAAGTGGCATTGGTCATTATTGTTGCCTTAGCATGGATAGCATTTACTATTTTATAACATATTTTTAAAATAATTATCGAGAGTAACTATTGTTATTAATAATGATTAATTGTATGACAACAATTCTACCTCAGATTTCAATTGATGATATTTATTATCATCAATTGAAATGTTTCCCAGTGACAAGCTTAGTGATAAGCAAAGATTTCACATCTA